GTATCCTTAGGATATTTGATTAAAAAATTAATCTAAATTAACATCAATATAAGTCTTAAAATATATTTATCTTCAAACCAAAAAAAAAAACACTCATGATTCTCGGAAAAAAAAAGAGTGTTTCCCCCCCTTTTCCTACCTATATAAAGTAATCACTACCTAATTATCTTAATTCTTACAAAATTTTTAATCTCATTACTTATTATCTAATTATTATTTTTTATTTAATATGGCTTGCAATTATTTAATTCCTTGAGTAATTTATATAAAAAAGTACATTTTAACCATATTGTTTCCTTTGATAATGTTTTAGAAATTAAAAAAATTACTGATGTAACATTTGAATTTATAATCTTTTATGACAAGAAACACAAAGAATACCATCATTCGGATTTCTACCTACCAAACCTCTACTGCCACTTTGTTTATCACCAAGAAAGTCTCCATTGAAATTAATTTTGATAGAGGACGCTAGCTGCTATGAAACCTGCTAAGGCTTGTCAAATGAACCTAAAAGAAAGAAGCCTTTTTAACCAATTTAATGTAGGCAAGCTGCAAACGCTCAGATTCCAGGCATGTTATCCATAAATGCTATTCCATAGCATAAAGGAGAAGAGCTGGAAATTAGAAGTGTGTTCTTGTTCAAGATTTCAGGTTTGACTCTTGCTAGATGGAAACAATGCTAGGTGCAAATAATTTCATGAGGCCATTGCTTTTGGGCAAAGTTTACATATTAATCGTGGTTCACTTGCATGAACTCCGAGGATTTGTGTACACTCATGATTAGTCGAGCCTTAACCTAGATATATGGTGTAACAGTATTAAATATGCATGAGGTGTACATTTTGATAAGTTGTCCAAAACAGTGCCTAGAGTTGCTGGCAGCCATGCTAATAGTGGAATAAATCAATAGCATAGATTTGTGCTGCTATAGATTTGTTGAAGGAAAATTGACAGCACATATTGTTGACGATATGAGCTGGATGATGGACTGTCCAGGCCAAGCAGGAAAACTTATTAGAGGGATATGTTGACGAGAACTGGGGTTGTCGTGGAATTCGATAGCATAGACATTGACAACCTGCATGCATATACGAATTCGGCAGAGCACAATAGCTTGTGCAAGTCGTTGGTTCAACTTGGCACGATCTAAAACTTAGACAAAGGACTGTCTAAGGCATGCGAGAGACCAGTAGCAGACGCAACAAGAACTGACAGTTGGGGTTGCCAGGTGGGCTTGCAGAACATGAGTTAGTGGAGGTTATGAATACCTAAGATCATGAGATTATGGGGGCTGGACATGGGGGTTGATCAGGGGTTACTCTCAACCCACTAAGATCATAGGGGATTATGGGGGGAAACTTTCCACTACTTGGTAGATAATAGGGCCACTATGTTTATGTGTGAACATGGATGAGATAGTGTCCCACTACTTCTTTAAAATTTGGAATGAGGCTTGTGCCTTCTAAATGCTTGTCTATAAATACTTGTTGCAGCTCTTGGTTGAGGGAAGCATGCGTGGGGTATATTCAATATGTAGGGGCATACAAGAACATATAAAGCACGAGATAGAGATAGTTTAGTGTAGCATGCAATCTTTGTACATATCACACATATGGATTTGTGTATAGTTCCCTTTGTTTACGAGATTAATAAAGGTTGGGAAAGAGTTCCTATAAAGCTTGTTGTGCACTTTGATTATCTTATTCTATTTATGTATTTTGCTTGTCTTTGAACTTGGAAAAGTGGGAAAACCTTTTAGGTGAGGAAAACACTTAATTATTAGGTAAACACGAGTGAAATGAGTGAGGAAAGACTGAATCTAGTAGAGGATTAGGCTGCTGCATGAGTTTATTAGTAGAGCAAAAAATTACCCCATGACACCTGGTGCTAATTCAACAAAGAATAAATTGTTTTAGGCATATAAATAAATTGTTTTAGACATATAAATTGTAATTTGTATATATCCACTCTGCAAAAACTGGTTTTGTTCAAGGGAAATCAATATTGGTTTTTCTTAAATTAGATTCACATTATTTATTTGATTTTTGATGACCAAGTTGTTGTTTCTTTTTAACTAAGAGCAATGAAATAATTCAGATATATATTCTCTTGCCTTTGTGCTATAAATATATTTATTGTCATTATTGTATGTTTTAATTTAGAGTTAAGAAGAAAATATTTATACCAAGCAAAATACAGCATTTAAGGAATTTAATAAGACAGTTTAAATAGAACTATAATAAATAATATACAAGTTAAACATTTGAGATTTAATCCTTGTCCTTCTTTATTAATTTTAAACTTGATTATATACCTATATTAAGATCGACATTAATTGAATATTAATTCATAAATAACTCTTATATTGCATCCGTTTTGTCATTTAAGCCGTATATGTATATATATACATGTAGGAGTATATGCTTCACCATCAAAATAGAATTTTAGCTCCAAATTATCTAAAAAGATCACAATGGCAAGGTCTAACAACGTTTCATTCACGGTGCTTCTGTTCTTGGGAATAACGTTAATAGCCTCTCCTATCCTTGCAATTGAGAATGAAGGTGAATCAATTGAAGCTGAATATATTGATAACGAAAGTCTAGCTGCATCACCAGAAAGTTCCACAGAGATTTTGCCAGGTTTTTTGAAAAATTGTGCAAATACTATTACAAAGGCTGCTGGAGACAAAGTCTTCGATTACATATTTGGAGATGAAAAGAGCCTGGACTACGATACTTGTAGTGAAGTCACGGAATCCGGTAAAGAATGTCACGATGCCCTAGTTAAATATGTTGCTGAAGGACCAATGTTTAAGGCTAATTACAATTTTTATTTGAAAAGGGGCGATGACCTGTATAATATTTGCTTGGCTGTGTTCGTGGATTAGGGCATATATTTCCTTTTAATATTTAATCAATGTCAACAATTTTCTATATTGATTCTTTCAATATAGTATAATGTAATAATATGCATGGATGTGATAATACTTAAATTAAATTTACTCACTTGGTATTAAAATTAGTGTCCTGTGATCATTAAAATACTCATGATCATATCCAATCATATTTATGGAAAAAAAAAAGAAAAATAAAGGTGTTTTATATTTATTTGTATCATGAAGTTTTAGTTTATTGTTGTTTGCCATAAGAACAATATAATATTCTTGAAATAAAGAACTAAACTTGTAGAAAATGAATTAGTACTAGCAAGTGTATTGGCGTAATATCCTTAGGTTTTTTTTTAATATATATTTTTTTTAATTTTATGAAAATCAAAATAGATATCCGTAAGAATTCATGATTTAAATTTATATAAAAAAATATTTTTGTAGATAAAATTATCTTTTTATTCATGTATTGTTTTTGTGACAAAAACATGTTGTTATTAGTAGCAACATAGTTTTTTGAATAAAAGCTAAAAACAATTAACATTATTCAAAGATAAAAAAATAACTTTTCTTTAATTAAAACTTCTTGTTCATGTTATTTTGTTTTATGAAAACACCTTTTTTTTTAAACAATAATATTGTTTTTAAATAAAAATTTATCATGATCACCTTAGTTTACAAGTAGAATGCTCACATAATAGAAATTATTATCCCATCATTTTGTTTTATTTTTCATAGGAAGTAGTCTATTTGATTATGAAAATTGATAATTTTTCAAAAAAACTAAGAGGTCCAACGTTAATCAGAATTAAAAAGGATATTTAGTAAAAAAATACATAGATAAAGTGACAAACATCACTCAAAGCAGCTCTGAAGCCACTTGTTGGATCTAGAAGTAAAAACAATAATGAACAATAAATTAATTAATTTTTATTTAATAACAAGACTTTTATACAAAATATTAATTCTAGAAAATCAACTAATACATATAAACACTCATATATATACCCATGAATTTACTATGAATCACTTACAGGAAACTCCTTGTTGTGGACTTGTGCACCCTCAGGATTAGTGAGGCCTTGACCTCTATACCCGATGCTAATCTGAAAAAAATTGCTGTAGCAATGTAAGTTGTAATTTGTATACATGCACTTTGCAGAAACTGGTTCTGTTCAAGGGAAATAAAATTTTGAGCTATACCCTTTATATATATATATATATAAACCCCACCTGGTGGTTTTTTTTAATCATCTTGAAGAGACCGAGGCTTAATATATTGATTTTGCTATAGATGGTAGGGGATTTGGGGTGTAATGACGGCTGGAACAGCTCTACAGACCTTGATGCTTTTTTAATCATCTTTCCTCTCTCTTTTTCTTGTCTTTTCATTATATATATATAAACTTAAAATGTTGCTGTTTTGAACAGGCAGCCCTGAACAAGCTATCTAGTGGCTGCCGACTACCTTACCCCTGTACCATGAATAGACAGGGGAAAAGGAGCTCTTTCTTTCTTTTTTTCTTCTCTATAAATACCCCCTTTACCAGGAGGTGGAGGGAGGACAAAAAATAAAAATAAAAATGAAAAGACAAGAAAAAGAGAGAGGAAAGACTTCCACCTGCAAGTAATCGACAACTTAATTTAGCATATTTTTCTTCGAGGATGATGAGTACTCCTTCCATATATCTATGGACACTGCAACTTTTATGAGACTTCTACCCTTTCTTCCAATCGGTTTTGTAGAGTACAAGCAAAAGCATCAAGGTCTGTAGTGCTGTTCCAGCCATCATTACACCCCAAATCCCCTACCATCAATAGCAATATCAATGTATTGAGCTTCGGCCTCTTCAAGATGATTAAAAAAATATAAACTGACCTGATCAGTTATATATATATTAAAATTAAACTTAATTTTTATAGATAAATTAATTAGGATTTAATGCTTTGTCATCTTCAAAACCATATCGTTTATATATAAAAAGTATATAAAAAGTAGGAACGCGAAAAGAAATTGCTATGGTTTAGATTTTATTTATTTATGTTGGAAACAGTTGACATTGCACAAGTTGAGAAGCTGTGAAGGGCAATAATCTTGTAGTATAATTTAGACATTATTCTTCAATTGAGAATCAGTGAGGTCAATAATCTCAGGGTCTTGTTGAAAAAGGATCATGTCCTTTTCCTCTGCAGTCATCCATACTTCAACTCCACCATCTTTGGTGTCCAGCAAGTTCACCACTGGTACTGGTTTATGGGGACTGCTCACCCATGCAGGCTTTCCCCAGCCAAAATCCACTTCATAAATTGGGAAACCACACCAGCTAGCAAACGTATACGCATCTGTCTCACCTCCACTTGCTTCCTCATTCCATTCTCTAAAACTCCCTGCTGCTCCCAACAACAAATCATCATAGCTTATTGCGTTTCTGCAATCCGAAATGGCATCTCTTATCGCCTGCCTTACTGGAATGACCAGGTCAGGCAACCCCATTTTGCTCTCATCTGCCTCGAATCGAGCTATGGAAACCCTCAACATGTTTCCGAAACAATTTTGTGGTATTGGTAATGCTGACCTCTTTCTCATTTCCACTCCATGAATTAAGGCAGATGGCCTCAGGTATCCATGCTTAAGTTTAGCCACCTTAATCAGAGCCCTCCATACAATTGCAGTCACTACTTGGACTCGCGAAGGTTGGCCTGTCCCTCCTTCCAAATCATCATCTCTTGTTCTGGCAATCACTTGCAGGTTGGCTACTGCAGACCTGCTAAACACAAAAGTTCTTGTCACGACCCTAGCTCCATTTTTAACTGGAGTTGCTTTCAGGATTTGAGTTGCCTCTCTTGTCGGAAAGAGGGATGGCAGAGCAAAACTTGGTCGGGGCACTTCATCAATACCAACTCGACTTGTTGTTGCCCATCCGTTGACAAATGAGGTTAATGTCGCTACATCACATATCTTGTGTGAAATGCGCAAGCCGACAGCCAGTCCACCGCACTCGAAAGTGCTTACTTGCACAGCTACTAATGGACTTGTGGGTGATGCAACAGGATACGGAAGAAACTGATTCAACTGCTCAGGCTGCAACTCCCCATTTAAAATTTGAGAGAGTCGTCCACTTACTTCAGCTTCCAAATATTCTACCCCTTTGTCGTTGCAATCGATCAACAGCTTTTCTTCATCATATCTCCCTGCCACCGGATAGTAGAGGGTTAAGATTTTGGATAATGATTCCTCCAACTGCTTTCCTCTTGCGGAATGCTTGGCTCCTTGAATGTTTTCGTCAGCCGGGTAAAAATATGTTAATCCTACATAAACTGGAGGAAGAAGCTGATCCAAGGCCGATATTTCACAGCTTCTAAGGTGAGGTGTGGTTGAAGATGACGGAGTAATGAATTTCCTGGAAACAATTTCAACCCTCATGTTCTCCAGTTGTGTGCCTGGTTGAAGAGACAGATCTTCTCTTGGCTAGACCTTAGAGTTGTAGACAAGTTTCATAAATATTATAGCAGTTTGAACTTATTATTTGTACCTTGATAGATTAAAATGAAGATATTTGTAGGTTTATTCTTCAGTTGAATTTTCAATACCTTTAAAGTTATTAAATTAGGAGTTTTCTTTTGGTTACTAATTACTTTTAATGTTACATTATTATTCTTAATGTTTGATTTTTTATTCTTCATTATTTTTAACAGTACTTGGAAAACGTCAGGTTCTTGATAATGATTCTGATTTTCAATTAGAAAAGAAAAACCAGAAAAAGAGAAGAGAACTGAAAGTAAAAGAAGGAAAATTGTTTTCCGTTACGGCCATTACATTATTTTGCAAACAAAACAAAGTAATTCTTAGAATTCCATATTCCAATCCCTCAAAATCCCACAATTTTCCTTATCAAATCCCATAGACAGGAAAATCAGTCCAAGAAACACAAGTACAGGTGAAAAAGAGAAGCTACATGAAAAAAAGCATGTAGTTGCAGCTAAATAGAATTTTATACAAACTGCTTAGATCAATTCTTATAACTTATTCATCACAACCACGTAAACAAAATGATTGATGCACACATAACTACATCGCTCAGAGTTATGGCTCTATCAAGATTTTGCAATTTTTCATGTAAATTGATTGATGGGGGGGTGATCGCATGAGTTGCAGTTCCGTAGTATATTTATTTGTACTAACTATTATAACAAAAGTTAAATCGTATGAAAAAATCACTATATATAAAGAAATTTTTATTATAAATTGTAATAATAATTTCACTTTAAAAAAAAGATATTTTTTTGATTGCTTATATATTTTTTTTTTTAATTCTCATAATAACTAAAATATATAATCATTTTTTTTTATTTGTGTTTACTTGGATCAGGCAAGGCAAGAGTTGGAACTGACATGACTACCAGACTCAAATCACTTAAAATATTTTTTATATTCTTAATAATTTTTTCTTATATTTAAACAAAATTATTGACCGGATGCGAAATGAGGACAAATATACTAGTATTATATACAGAAAGTCAGAGTTGGTTTCAACAAGGAGCAGAGCAAATTTGAGTTGATAAAAATAACATTTGCATTCATCTTATACGGTGACAGCATTGCTACAACACCAGGGTGAACAATCAGTTAATCTGGAGAGTATGAGAAAAGAAGAGAAGGTTCCACCCATCCATTTGAAATATCCATGTCCTATCATAAAAATGCATCACTTGCAAAAGCATACTAAATCATAACCTACCAATACTTCATATTACTAGTTTGCTATACAAATCAAGACTGCTAAAAACGGAAATTTTTGTCTTCAAAAACTTCCATAACTTATTGTGGCGCCTCCATCGACATCTGCACTCAAACATAATAAACCTGCAAACTAGAGTCCCAGCCCGGCCCCCCCACCAACATAATCACTGAACTCACATGGACTACAAATTCGAAAACATAACAATATCCTATAACTACATTTCTAATTGCTGTGTCAGTTTCTGCTTCCGATGAAGAGACAAAACAGAGAACAACAGTCAAAAAGATTGTACAACTAACGGAGTTGAAGAAGTAATAGCTAAGTACTTACACCAAATGCTGAGACTATCTACGCTGCATGAGCTCCTGCTCAATAGACTCAAATTCTTTTAGATTTTCTACCGCAGTTTTAACTTTCTTGGATAGCTTCTCACTGTGATCTTCAACAATTTTCACAAATGCAGTTAACTGTTCTTGATAAGTGGCACATAACCGCTTCTTATTTCTCAATTCAGCAGTTAATTCTTGAATTTTTTTGTCTTTTTCATCCTACAAAGTAAAAATAAAACAATACTCAGATCACGTAAGATATGCAGATATTATACTTCCACAACCTCAAAGCATGAGAAATCTTCCTTCCAAGCACATATTAACCACATCCCAGTTCGTTTGTCTGGTTTCTTGAATAGCATGTGATGCACTGAATTTTTACACTTGTATTTGTCACTCATGAAAACCAAATAAAGAACAGAGAAAGTGAAAGTTTTATTTAAGGAATTACATATTTTCCTTAAAAGCTTATTTAATTACCAGAGAGAAGAAGGCTACAGAATCACATGTCAAAGGCATATATATATAGAGATGGTAAAGCATGGAAGCAGCATGTCATAGTTAACAAACAGAGAGGAAAACTCACCAACGTTTGACGAGCTTCACGTGGGGCTACTACAAGTGGATGATTATGGTCCTTGACAAATTTTGTTATCACCCATTTTCCAGACTTATCAAACTTAACATGAATCATCGCTTTACAACCTTCTCTAGTACTTGGTCGTGGCTTTCGAACATTTCCGAATTTGCCTCGAATGCTTACACAATAACCCTCCTTATTACACCCAAGTCGCCTGGCAAGAATCCTCCCATCTCTTTCAGAACGACGACAAGACATTACACGCATTACAAACCCTATCTTCCGAGCATATTCATCATAGAATATCTTGGCAGCATCTTCTGATTCAAACTCCATGCCCTCATGTGGTTCTACAACCATACTATCACCTTCATGTACAACCACTTCATTTCCAATTGAGCTCTCTGCTATATCAATCCTCTCATCTACATCCACTGCCACACAATAACACAATTCAATATTACCTTTAAACCCATTTAAAATCCCTTATTCATCTTTAAACATTAAGCTCAAAATTTGACAAGAATAAACCAAAAACAGCATAATTCACTCTTCTCTGCAGCAGCTAAAACCAAGCAAACAATAAACTAAACGGCCCACCAAAAAAAACCCCAACTTTTATGTCAAGAGCACCATTCAACACTAAACAAAAAAATCAAGAAACACTAACAAAAACTGTTTCATTTCTTCTTGTTTTCTCTCTTTCACTTTCCTCTCTTTTCTCAGAAAGCAATCAGACTATACATTCAAACAACATCAAGAAACCACAAGATTCATTCTTTCTCTTCTCATACCACAAACCAATAACAAAATGAAAAAGAAAAAAAAAGAGATGGAAACTCTGTAGCATTAAAAAGTAACACTGAGCTATACTTTGCATTCAAAAACACAAACTTTTTGTATGATTCAATAAAGAAAAGAAAATTAAAGATGACCCAGAGAGAGAAAGATTGCCACTTACTTGATGCAGCAAAGATCAGAGAGACCCAGAATTGAGAAGGGTATGGAAGGTAATTTCGAGAGTTTAGAGAGGTATTTTTGGGTTTTGGTGAGTAGGGATAAGATGGATCAGAGACTAGAGAGAGATGATCGTGAAACTCAAGTGTTTTGATGCCACCAGACAAACATGAATAGATCTGACAACATGTCGTTTTTATCATGAATGACATGTCAGTTGTCGTTGCATAAGGGTTTTTTCGGGCAAGGCTCAAATAGAACCCCCCGTCTACTGGGGTGGTATAAATGTTTACCCCAAAACAATTTGTTTATCAATTCTATCCCAAACAATTTGGATTTCTCAAATGGGTCCCGATTCCAGAATTCCTTATATTAAATTAACTTACTTAAGCTATAAAACTGATAAATAAATTATTTGAGAGCAAAATTAAAACTAAGTTAAAGAAACTTGTGACTATGAAAATTAGCTAGAACACAATTATCAAACTTATCTCAAATCAAAAGTAAAATTATGGTTAATCACATGAGGAGAGACAACTTTAATCTATTTTAAAATATTTTTTTTATTTAAAAAAATATAAACATGAGTCTATTTCAAAACTATGTATTATTTCTTTACATAAAATAAAATAAAAAATATTGCTTTGGATAATCTTTTTAGAATATGAGTCGGGTTTGATAATTATGACTGAAGAGTTATACAGAGGAAAACAGGCGACGGATATCCTTATATTTCTCAAAATATTCATTTTAATCTTCTTTAAATTTACTAGTTCAAATCTATACACTGGATCGTTCGTAGCCAAGACAACATACAGCCCGCTGGCAAATCTGATTGGCTAGTACTGGACTCTAGTTCTAACAGAATCTAGTTTCAAACAAAGAAAGAGATCATACATGTTTCTTGAAGTAGCTCTTGGCATGGATGGTGGAAAGTAAATGCTGATGGCATCAGTTCCCTTGCAAATCCTGGCATGACGGAAACCAGATTGGAGGTTTTTCGTGTAACCTCTGGCCATAAGCTGGGGTTTTAAGATAAATGCATGCAGGTTCAAATTGAGGTTGATGCTTAGGCGTATCATCAGTTACTTTGAAGAAAGATTGCAAGTGCGGGATGTTCCTCCTTAGGGCCTAAGCAATCTGCACGCAGCTGCTGAAACGGGCGCCTCACCGACATCGGTAGGGGAGGACACACCAAAGAATTTTGATACTGCACGCATAACCTCACCGTTATCATCTCTGATAATAGCGACTAAGCCAATACCTTCGCTGTCAAAAATTGCAACTTCTGTGTTGAGTATCAGGCGGCAGCACGCGGGTTCCAGTTTTGGTAGCTCGCCGTGGTTCCATATTGACCTCAATCTCCAGGGTTGGTGTTCCCGTCACATTCTTAACCTGCACTCCTCTCTTTTCAAAGTTATGCTTGGTGGGAAGGACATTGAGGCACGCTCTCCAAATAAAATTTATGATCCATCTTCCAGACCATAAGAAAAAAGAAAGCTCCCAAAGCAAAATAATCTTACAGCTTGCAGCATTAATCCAGTTTTTACCTCAAAATTACGTCCTGTTGGGAATTTTAGACACTACCGATTCATCAAAAGTAAATGTTTGAACTTGCAGATTTAGAATCCAATTTCATATACAACAAGTTTTGAAAACAAATGTTGAAGGTTCACCTTTGCTCCCAAGAAATTAGTATGATCTAAAATCTCAGCAACATTTCCACCACTGTGCATCCAAAGCTCCATATATCAGCTCGAGAATCATTCCCACCACTTCTACGATTAGCAATTTCCGAAGCCATCCAATATGAACTTCTCGAGCCAGGCTTCAAAGACTGGCTATCTTCCATAATAGACAAACCAAAACCAGCAAGTTCTATGTTTCCAGATTCGATCGGTCACCAATATGTTTGCACATTTAAGATCTCTGTGAATCACATTACAACTATGAACATACTTCAGACCCCGCAAAATCTGTCGAGTATAATGAGAAACTTGGGATTCCACGAAAGGGTGATTAATTCTTGTATGCTTGTTCAAGGGTGCCATGGCTTACAAGCTCTAGAAAGATATAAAGCTTTTTCTTATCCTTGTCTGTTCCATAATACTGAATTATGTTTTCATGATCCAAAAGTCTCAATAAAGCAATCTCCTTCTCAAGAGAGCATAGACGTTTCTAATCACTAAGTGAAACTTGCTTCACAGCAAAAAATATTCCATCTTCACTGGATCCTCTGTATACTGATGCGAATGACCCGCTTCCAAAATAAGATCACCCTTGTTCCAGTTCTTAAATGTACGTCTTCGTCTACTAATCTGCCAAGGATTTGGCATAATTGTTATGCTTTTCACTTTGTCTTATACCAATCCACAAGTGAACTGCCAGATATTAACTTTTTTTGCAGGAAGAGAAAGATCTCAAAATCCGAGAGTTATCCCTGCTTATCAACAGCATCTACAAATGGTGTTAACTTCTGAGATTTGGCTTGGGATAGTTACTTCAAGATTTTCCTTAAATACGCCACTTGTGTATGGAAGGTTTTACTAATATCCATGTATATCATTAGATTTGTCACGCACTACGCTGCATATAATAGCTATTTTTTCATTAAGATATTTAGGCTGTTTTCTTTTTTTAAAAAAGAAATTCAATAATTTAGATTATAATTTCAACCAACTAAATAAATTGGCTTTATTTAAATCATACAAAAAGAAAAACACAAAAATAACAAACATAAAAATATATATTAAAATGGCAATCACCATAACATGAAAAAAAAATTATTCAAGAGCATAAATACGATGTTATTTATTTTTTGATCAATTAAACATTAATAGACAGAATATGGTAAAAAATGAAAGAAAAGATGGTGTGAGCCAACCCAAGCTAATATAATAGACATAATTTGAGCATCAAGGGTTGAGTTAGTTTAGGTTAATATGTCAAACTCAAGTTTTATGTCATGAGGTCAGGATAATTTAATAAAATTCTTTTTTAAGAAAACCATAAAGTTATTAAAAAAACAAAAAAATGTCATTCGAGGATATCAAAAGAGAAAATAAGACAAAAAAAGATATCAATCTTTATTAATTTTTCAAACTCGTGATCCAGGTCATTAGACTAAAAGTACTATACATGAAAAAATCATGAAACCCAATTCTCGAGAAATGAAACATTAAATGATGAAATTGAATAAATAAATAATTACATTAAAAAATTTTCAAATAAAAAATAGCAATTAAAATAATATTTTAATGAGGGTTAAACTAGAAATAAGAAAAAAAAATATACGGCAACAATAAATTTTCAATTTGAATGTTAAATTGAAAAGAATAAAAATATTAATAAAAAAAAATTAAAAGAATAAGAACCAAAATGATAAAAAATAATACTCTATAAAATTGGATTATAGGGTGAAATTAAAAAAAAAAACCTTTTATAATAGAGCTAAAATAATCAAGAATAAAAAAAATAAGAATTAAATTGAAAATATAAATACTTGATACAATTAGAATCCAAGAATTAAATTGAAATTTTTTTTTTAAATCGAATTGGGTTTAAAAAAATAAAAAAATTTAAAATTTTAGATAATTTGACTGACTTCGGAGGTTAACTTAATAATTTGATTTATCCAATAAAATTTGATTAAAAACTCAATTATAATCTATTAATTATTTATTTAATTTTTAATTAAAAAAATATTATTTTGATTTATAAAAAAAATTAGAGCTAATCCAGATGATCCGGTGACCCAGGTCTTGGACTGTGTTTACGACCGAATTGGGTTTAAAAACTTTGCTACACACATGACATTCCCCATGTCAACCCGTTTCTAGGCTTAAAACAACTCCAAGGTCCCTCAAGTTTTAGAAATCAGTCACATTAGTCCTTATACTTCAATTTTGGTCACTCAAGACTTTCTACTTTTAATTAATGGCCATGCATGGTCCCTCCATCTGTCACTACAAGCTTGTTCATTCCAAAAAATCAATGATATGAATAATGCAATAGGGAGGGATAAGATTAATCCCACTGTAGTAATCCGCTCGCAGCTGCTGGAACGGGTACTCTCCATTGTAGTGGTGCTTAATGTTTCTTTTCTGATCTTGCAAGCTCTGAAGAAATAGTTTTGGTGAGAAACATGGTTTGCATCAGAGATAAGAAGATGATGGATAGACTGAGGTCAATTCTCAATCCAGATTTGCTGCTGATCTGAGCTAATAGCCAGTTTGCTTAAAGTATGAGCATCCTGATTAGTACATCTAGGAGAATAAACAGAAGATAAGGATTCAAAAACAAGACCAGAACATTAAATGTCCTCGGCTGGCAAGATAACCAACTTCATTGAGTGCAGCTGGGAATGTTCAACAGCACAGTACAGATTCATCAAAACTAAAAGGTTGAACACACAGATTTAGAATCCAAGTCCATAATACAATAAGATTTGAAAAGAAAAGAAAAAAAGTGTTGAAGGTTCACCTTTCACCATAAAGCAATTCGCTAAGATCAGGTTGCGTGCAAGATGATTCATTCACGAAAGGATGAGCTAAAAGCTCGGCAGCAGTTGGACGCATACTTGGATCTGGCTGCAGGCATTTTTTGATGAAGTCCTTCGAAGTTTGTGAGAGAGAATCAGGAATAATAGGTCCTGTGCCCTTTCTAATTGCACGTTCTAAGGCCATGAAGGTATTCTCGACATTATACTGTGGATACTTTCGGGTCAGCATTTCCACCACAGTGCATCCAAGGCTCCATGTATCAGCTCGAAAATCATACCCGCCACTTTTAGGATTAGCAACTTCCGGAGCCATCCATAATGAACTTCTCGAGCCAGGCTTCAAAGACTGACCATCTTCCATAAATTTAGAAAGACCAAAATCAGCAAGTTTTATGTTTCCAAATTCGGTCACCAGTATGTTTGCACATTTAAGATCTCTATGAATCACATTGCAACCATGAAGATACTTCAGACCTTGCAATATCTGTCGAGTATAACGAGAAACTTGGGATTCCTTGAAAGCGCAATTCTTATATGCTTGTTCAAGGGTGCCATGACTTACAAGCTCTAGAAAAAATACAAAGCTTTTCTTCATCCTTGTCTGTTCCATAATACTGAATTATGTTTTCATGATCCAAGCGTTTCAATATAGCAATCTCATTCTCGAGATAGCAAAGATGTTTCTGATCACTAAGTGAAACTTCCTTCACAGCAAAAAATAATCCATCTGCATTAGATCCTCTATATACTGATGCGAATGAGCCTCTTCCAATAAGATCACCCCTTTCCCAAATTGTAATTGGACGTCTTCGTCTGCTAATCTGCCAAAGATTTGGATTTATCATTATGCTTTTCACTTTGTCTATGCCAATCCGCAAGTGAACTGTAAATTCAGCGCATAACTGCTTGTAATAATAATAATAATAATAATTAAAAAAATAAATAAATGGAATAGAAAAGATATAAGAACAGCTGGTTACCTTCAGTGCAAGAGAATTAACATCATTGTAGTGATTGCCCCTTGCAATTTCCTTTAAACACTGTAAAACAGAGTCATGATACTCTGGATTGCTGAAAACAGCAGCACCTTGTGGGGATGAAAATTAAGGAAAATAAAAAGAGAAACCAACAAGAAGTATAAGAAGGACCTCATGTAGGGATAGATGCAACAAAACGTAACTTTAAAATCCAGGATAAGGATGACATACCGCCATTCTCATTCTGAATTGGACTGCCTAGCTTTTTCAGTATTGTTTGAACAATATTTGCTGTTAATCCTGACACTCCACTACAAAGGAAGAAAAAATTGGCAATAAGCGTTATAGTCAATTGGATTCGTACATGTAAGGATTTATATACAAGAAAGGACACAATTTTACTCAAAAAACTTCTCATGGGATTTTGGGTTCTTTTTTATGTGTAAGCATCTCTAACTGCTTATTCCAGGTAGACTTCCCACTAAGGAACTCAAAAATTGTGTCTGATATTATTTTCAAGACATTACACATGATATGAAATCATCTCCAGGAATTAGTGTATTCTAAGAATAAAAATGAAAGTAAGAGTACCCGATATATTGAGCAACATATCCAGCAGAACTGGCCGCTGCCTCAATAACCCGCCTCAAGGTCTTTACCATCCCTGTTTCATGCTGAGCAAAGGCGTCCGCATAATCTGGACAAGAATAAGATGATGAACTGGCAGCTTGTGTGCTCGAAGAAGGCATCGGAGAAGACCAGGCGGGAGGACAAGAAGATCAAAAGAAAGCAATTGGGGAAGGATGAGAAAGGACCAACAGAAGTTGGGGTTGGAAAGGGGTTGAGGAGGAAGGGAAGACAGAGAAGTTGTTTCCCTATAATGTAGTTGGGCAGGAATGTCTTCATTGTCATTGTTTTTTCAACATTTGCAAATCTCTTTGCTAACCAAGCGACAAAAGTGTCATTGTCAAAGGGAAAGGTGTCGTTATCAGTGCCAAGAAAATTGAAGGGTGATGAACAAGATGCGTGTGTTCTCGAAGAAGGCATTGGAGGAGACCGGGCATGAGGACAAGAAGATCAAAAGAAAGCAATTGGGGAAAGATGAGAAAGGATCAACAGAAGTGGGGGTGGAAAAGGGGTGGAGGAGGAAGGAAAGACAGAGAAGTTGTTTCACTACAATGAAGGTGGGAAGCAATGACATGATTGTCATTTTTTTTCAACATTCGCAATTCTCTTTGCTAACCAAGTGGAATGGTGTCTTTGTCAAATCAAAAGGTGTCGTTATCAGTGCCAAGAAAATTAAAGGATGATGAGCAGGCAGCTTGTGTTATCGAAGAAAGCATTGGAGAGGACCAGGCATGAGGACAAGAAGATCAAAAGAAAGCAAATGGGGAAGGAGGATCAAGGGTGGGTGGGGGTTCAAATTCAATTGAGGAGGAAGGAAAGGCAGAGAAGTTGTTTCCCTATAATGAAGGTGAGCATGAATGTTTTCCTGTCATTTTTTTTTCGACATTCGCAAATCTCTTTGCTAACCAAGTGATATTGTCAGTTTCAAAGAAAAAAAGTTTTCAATATGTTTCACCAAGAAGTTTCAAATTGAAATGAATTCCTCCCATTTAAAGTGCAGAGCAGAACTTCAGACCTTGCAATATCTGAAGACATTGATCTGTTTACATGATCCAACCGTGTAAATAAAGCAATCTCATTCTCGAGAGAGCAAAGACGTTTCTGATCACTAAGTGAAACTTCCTTCACAGCAAAAAACAATCCTCTTCATTAGATCCTCTGTCTACTGATGCGAATGAACCTCTTCCAATAAGATCACCCCTTCCCCACTTTGTAATTGCACGTCTTCGTAATCTGCCAAGGATTTGGCATAATCATTATGCTTTTCACTTTTTCTATACCAATCCGCAAGTGCACTGTAAATTCAGCGCATAACTGCGAGTAACAACAAAAATGATAAGAAAAAAAGGCAGATGTCAAATCAAGTAACGAGAAAACAAAAATGTGAGATTTCCCACTGTGCAACTCAACAATTGTGTGTCTGATATGAAATCATCTCCAGGAATTGGAGCATTCTAAGAATAAATATGGAGCACCATATGTACACATGGTGTCATTGTCAAAGACTGTACAAAATCTGTCAAGGTGTTGTCGTCGATGAGAGATAACTTCCTGTTTTTTGTTTCCTAGATCTTTCCTAGTGTTATATAGACATGGACCTTTCAAAGACTGTACAAATTACATAGAACTTTCCAAATTGTCAAGGAGTTGCTTGCCGTGGGTCATTGTCAAGGACTGCCCTACCAAACTCAAGATTCAACTTTGAATTGTTTCTCTTCTCTAAGTGTCACCCTAACAGTGAGTGTCATTGTCAAAGACTGTACAGATATAACAGTTGTCGTTGTCAAAGAAAGACTGTACAGAACTAAATGTTGTTGCTGTCAAAGACTGTACAAATCCAACGAACTCCCAAAGATAATCTTTGTAGTGTTGCTCTTCTCGTAGTGTCATCCTGTAACACGGTGAGTTAATAAGTCGGTCAGCGAGATAATATGTTCTTTTTTAGAAGAAAAAAAGGGGTTGAATATGTGTTTTAGTTTGAAATTAAATTTTTTATATTTTAATTGGTTTAATTAATAAAATATAATTTTATTTTGTCAAATTGAGAATTAGCTAAAATCAAATCCTATTCTTAATCAAGTTAAATTTTATTTTATCAAATTAAGTATTAACTCAAAGTCAAGATCTATTCTTAACATTGTGAGAATTCTATATAAAAAAGTTTAAATTAAAAATTAAAAAAAGTCAAATAACAAAAAATTAAATAAAAAAACATTGTGGATAAATATTGCAACCAACAGTGGATTACGTATATATATTTCTTCTATATTGTATTTTTATCATTTTTTATTATATATTTCTTTCATCTCGTATTGCCTAGTGTGTACATGATTCCAAATATTATTTCATGGTTAACCTAAGGTTAATTTTGTAAAATCAAACTATAATTGTTTAATAGAAAGCAAAATGACGTAATATAAAAATATGAGTGAAAAAGATATGTTTGGATGACCCAATCAATTAAAAAAAAGATGCAAATTAAAAAAAAAAAAAAGGGATTTGAGATGGTAAAAAGAAGATTGAAATACTCAATTAAAAAAAATGCAAATAAAGAGAAAAGGAAAAAACTTAATGTGGTTCACTGTTCATATACTTATAATTCATATACAAGGGTGAAGTAAAAAAAATGTTGTAAAAAATTATTTAGATAGCTTTTGATTACTATTCTATAATAAAATAACAAAAACAATAGAGACAAATAAAAAAAACAAAAAAAGAACAGAAATATAATTGCATTAGGTAATGGTATATAAAATAAAGTGATTGTATCTCTGTATTCTATTTAGTTGTGCTAGATAAGATAAAATAAGTTATAAAAAAATATATTTTATCTTTAATATATATTATAATCAAACTTATATATTTAAAAAATAATTAGATATTTTTTATTTTAGTTTATATTGAGTGTTGAAATTAATAATAATATAATAACTTTAGTTATAAAATTAGAAATGACCTGACGGGTTGATCCGGAACCAAGCCAACTCGAGGCTTAGACTGATTCAAGTTTTAAAAACTAGATTAATGATTGACTTAACTTGACCCATTCAAAAACCTAGAATGACCCGACATAAAACATAGGTAAAAAAACTATTGATTTAAAAAAAATGCTAAAAAAAAGGTTGCTTTGATTATTTTTAAAAAGGTTTTTGGGTCAACTAAATTGACTCTCAAATCAGGTTTTAAAACTGTAATAATAATCACTTTTAAAAATAAATAATAATCACTTTTCAACCTCTCTCGCTACCCAAGCCTTGCCTCGAGTCGACTTCCAAATTGAATTTTAAAAATGTAATAATAAGTATTTTTATTCTTATGTGGACTTAGGTCTTGGGTTAACCTGACCATGATTGGAGTTTTGCCTCGAGTCATATCTGAATTGAATTTTAAAATTATGATAATAATTATTTTTATCATTACATGTCTTAATTAGATAATTTTATAATTGAAAGTTTTTTATAATAATATTTTAAATATAAAAAATAATAAATATTATCTCTAGAGATATGTCTTCATGTACCTTTTATTTTGAAAGCACATAAATTCACTCTAAAATTATCTCAAAAATATATTTATTTAATTTTTGTCTTAACCTTTGGCTCTTCAACTAGTCTTCATGTACCTCTTATTTTGAAATCACATAAATTCACTCTAGAATTATCTCAAAAACATATTTATTTATTTATTTGTCTTAACCTTTGGCTCTTCAACTAAATATCTCTCTCTCTCTCTTAAATCTTTCTTATCAATCCCATATTATTAAATCTCATTTGATTGTTTCTTGTACCAACAAGACTTTGATTTAAATAGAATTAATTAATCTAGGATGTATTGAATTTTTCAAATCTAATTACATATCATAAATATTATCATTTCAAAAAAAAATTAATGGTGTGGTTGTTTATGTGATACTTTTCAAAAAATATTTTTTTTTTATGTTTTTAAATTATTTTAATGTATTGATATTAAAAATAAATTTTAAAAAATAAAAATATATATTATTTTAATAAATTTCCAAACAAAAAACACTTTAAAAACAATCGGTATCATAATATTCTTTTAATAAAAAAAATTCACTTTATTTGATTGAAAGGAAATTCACATAGTTTTTGTGAAAATATCAGTTACCTAACTATCATGCATCAACATTAATTTATGTTTATATTTTCAATTTTTCATAGCATCATTGATTTACTATCTAGCCCTTTATACAATTTTTTTCCAATCATATAATAATAATAATAATAAAGCTAAATGCCTTCAAGTGAAAAAATAATTATGAAGTCTATATATTGTTTGACTTTTTTATGCGTAATTAACAATTTCTAGATGACAGGGACTGTTAAAATCTTTAGTTTCAACTTAATTTTTAATAGATCAAAATAACCTCTTCTTAAGATAATAATAAAAAAAATTGGTATTTTTTTTTAACTATCATAATCATTTATTAATAACAAGAAAAAAGAGTGCATTTATTTGACTAAGGAATCGCAGTTACAGGCTTTCTTTATAATAGTAATAAAAAAAGATAAAAATAAAATTCTGGCTACAAAGATAAATAAATAATTGTTAGCAAATTGAATAAGTGGTAACTACTCTCTCAATGATAAATAAATAACATGTTAATATATATGTTAAATTGGAGGAAAATAATATGTCTTCTGACATATTTTGTATTATTGATAATATCGTTTAATCGAATTTTAACTTTCAACCACATATAAATTATATATATATATAAAACAAAGAAAATTGAAGAGATTGTTATATTCTTAATGAAAAATAAACATAAAATAACCTTATATTTTTTAATATTTATTTTTAAACTTATAATATAACAGCTGTAAACATTGAAGGTTTGTCAACTACAAAACAAATATGAAAAAAAAAATCCAACTTAATAAAAGAATATGTACTTTATAAAAAAAAAGTAAAATAATAATGTCATATTTGAAACTATAACAAATAAAATATCAATTTGTATCAATGTCTTTAGCCGGAATAAAATGAAATTGATAACCTTATCCCTAATAGCAGCTAGCCCGCCACCGTCTTGTAATGTGGTTTCTTGAAACTGTACTATCCTCTGTATATCAGTCTGCAAGTCATACTTCTTCCCCCG